GAGACTTTGTATTTTTTAATTCTAATTTTTTTAATTTTTGGTGAACCAGAAATTTTCACCACTTCGTCATTCGTATGTTTTTTGTTGTTTATAGTACGCTTTGACTGAGTTTAATTTCCTAAAAATTCGGTGAAAATGCGCAGATTTCGTTACTCTCTACAACATAACAATAGCCTAGTGGTTAGAGGTCTTCACTGTGGTGCTTGAGGGTCTCGGCAATCTAATTTTTATTTTATTTATTTTTCTTTACTTTTATTGGTGAAGTAGAAATTCAACACGCCTATATGAACCACTAAACAACTAGTCTGATGCTGATGCATAGTAGGACTGTTGTCAGCTCGTAGGACATCGCCGTGTTAAAAAGACCAGTTGCTTACATGCAAAATAGATGGAAGATGAACTGGTTGGTGTATAAATGTAAACTAGTTGGATTCTAATCTCCAACAAGTATTTTTCTCAACAGAATATATACAATGTGTGTATATATGTACGACTATATATGTATACGTATGTATAGTATTTTTCTATGAAATGCCAAATTCCTTAAGGCGTTGAACGGAAGTCAAGTAAACAAAGAGCAAAGTGTAAGCAACGCAAAAAAAGCCAATCAACCATGTCGAAAGCACGAGAGAGTAGCAGCAAAGGTAGACAATGAGCGGAAGGAATTTACAGGGAGTGAGACAAGCGAGCTGCGAGCGTGATATTGTTGAAATACCGTTATAAATGAAGAAGAAAAAAAACGAAGCAAAATGTATAAAATAATCACAGCTTCTAAAGCTGATGAAATTTTGATTTTGCTAATTCATATTTTTGTTGTTGCTGCGCAAGAATTCAACTTGATCTTGTTAAGGAAATCGCAGAATTTAGTTGCTTTAATGGTTTAAGTACTGATTTGTATAGGAGAAATTCTTCTTTTTTGCTGAAGTAGGTGCCGCTTAAGCGATTATTACCGAGCCAACAACAGTGCGCCAGCGTGTTCGTGTCAGTACCGCCGTAACCGAGTTGTTGGCGTTGCGTTGTGCCGTTCGAAAGGCCAGGGCAGACTCTGTGTTCGACCAATAGACAATTAACTTTTCTGAGAGAAGGTTAACTCCTCTGAGTTCATTTTTGACATAAACATGAAATAAAGCTCCTAAGAAAAACTCATCGGCCTTCTCTTGCTCGCAACCAGACTCAATCGCATAGCTTGCTTGTTGTAAGGGAACTGCAGAATATTATAACTGAAAGAACTAGCTCCTATCTGATACAGGATATGTCTCATGCTTTTCTCTTTGTTAAAGATGTCAGTCCTGAAGTGGCTGTTATAATATTCGGATGCTCAAGGTCGGCACCAACCGAGATTTAGCAGAGCAATACAAAATATTTTTAAGCCCATGATACTTAGCTCAAAATTCAAGGGTTTCTGATGCTTTGACTATTCCATTCATAACCGTTGTGTGGAAATGAGATAGAATTGAAACCATATAATGCTGCCAACCAAGAAGCAGTCTTGGGCTTTATTCTATTTATTTTAGTAGGGAAGTCTCCAGAGGCCTTGCTTCCGACGAATCACGTAGATAACCCGTGATCTCCACCAGAATCAACCCTGCATTCGAACTCTCTGGATAGCACTGAGTTTTCTCCTCTACCATTTCATTTTTACTGTCATCTTTCGAAACCCTATCCCGCGTGGTGTTTCATGGATCTCATGTAAGGATAATTTTTTTTACTCCTAAGCCAACCAACATCCAAAATTGTAGAAAACTAGTTGTAATTATTAAAAAAGCACTCGTGGGTGAAGTGGTGATTCGCCGCAAAATCCTTGAGTTGCAAGCCGATACACCACAGCTAGCATCCTGAGGAGAAAACTTTACACGTAAAAAAATTTGAGAGCAGAAGATGAAGTCCACCTGAAACCGCCATTTCCAATATATGTATGTCTGCCTATGGGCCAAATCTATCGAAGTAACACGGTATTGCTGTTGGAGCGTTTCCCATGGGCTTACAAATTCTGGCCAATTGAGGAGAACTCACTTACTCTAAATGTGCTCAAAGTTGATTAATAATCGGTTGATCTTCCACTCCGTTGTATTGAATTCCATATGCATATGGAGCTGGCCGGACCGCATTTAGCTAATCAGTGTTCTTACCAGAGCTCGAAAATGGTTCGAAGATTAGCTGTGGTGTACTCTAATGGTATGGTCCAAGTTTGAGTTTTACTTATGTGACAAAGTGGAAAGTTTTCTTCGAGTTGTGAGGTGAACAGCCACCTAAACTCTACTCAACCCATGAGTGAGCTCAATGACAGAATCAGGATTGAGCCTGACATCTTTCTCTACTTTAATATCGGCAACGCGCTTCGCGTATTTTCTCATAAAACAAATCACCTCACAGCTCCAATATTGTTAGTTTATATGCTCCTTAATAGTTCCGTTTGTCTCTTTAAGAATGACTCATCTCCCTCTGGAGTTAGCGTATGTATTGATGAGACATCGTAAGAGCAGAGAGCCGCTGACTTTAAAATGAAAATTATAAACATTTTTATTACTTTGAGAGACTATTTTATTCACAATACAAACTCATGGACTTTCCGATAATGAAAAATGGCGGATCTCGTGGAAGCTAAGAAGCTTTAAAATGAGTACCTTTTGGAAGTTGCTGGAAACTCTGGAGCTGGAGGCACGAGCAGCAATTTGGACACTTTGAAGTTGAAAAAGCCAGCAGGCAACATTTAGTAGGGCTGAAAATCCCAAAAATTAAAGTTCTTTCTGTCTTTGCATTGCACATTCCCTTCAATTATGTGTCTATTAATAAACTCCACACTACACGTTTTACGGTTTCGCCGAAACATAAAATTAAAACCACGAAACCTTTAAACGCCAATTATTACTCGACAACTTCGCGGAATTACAACAGGCAAACTTTTCGAGTTTCAACGTAACTCCGAGCCATTCAAGCCGTTCAGCCGTGTAGATATAACGGTGTTTACAAAAATGCTTACTTCAACAACAGCAACAGCAAGAACATACTCATCAGAGAAGTGCACTGTGTATGTAAATAACACACCCACTTACCACACCTTAAACAACAATAAAAACATAAGTAAATGCAAAAACAAATCCTTGCAGCGATAACAACACAAACAACAAACAAAAAGGCAGAGATGCACACCGAAGAAGAAGAAGAATAGTAGTGACAGTGAAGCAAACGTCAACTGCCGAAGCACACGAAGGCCAACGCCACCGCCCCTAACGGTGTTATCAGCTAGGCAAAAACAAAACACAGAATCAAAAACCGACAGCACCCGACGAACTTTCACTCAAAACGCACATGCAACACGTGACCGCTGAGTGAAGGCCCATAAATGAGTTCATCGCGCCAAAATAATGAGTGGATGAATGCGTCGCTAGCGTAAAGTTAAGCCCTTAAAACTGTGACTGATAGTGAAGAGCATAGGAATTTGAGTTTTTAGAATCAATTTAAGCATGAGTAGTACAACCGTTAGCAGGAAATAGCTTTCAAAACTACATATTATTAAACGAGAAGATTGAAATTGTAAAGGAGCTGCACTCTTCACTCTCTCTCCACTCTCTCTCGCTCTCTCTCTCACTCACCATCTCGGTTCAAAGAGCGCCACTGTGCTTTTACTCAGCTTTCACTCATTCAACTTCCAACGTGTTGCTTCCACAAGGAGCTGCAAAACAAAACAACAACGAAGTCATACGAACGTCACACGACGTGATAACAAGTAAAAGCAGGCCAAGTGAGGACAAACGCGCGGTGGTGTCGTCAAGGGCAGCACACTCGTCGTTAAGGGCGAACTTGAAACGAGCAAGCAAAGGCACGAATCATCGGATGCTGCTTGCTGACGCTCAACGCTGCGTCGGTAACGTCCTTCTTAACTGCGGGCAGCACACCAGACCATATGAGTTTAGCCAGCCAGCAAGCAGTGTAAGTTGACGCTGAGCACAGCAGAGCAGACCATCCAAGAATGGAGCTGCTGAAGACTTACTGCACCAACGAGGAATTAGTTTATAATTTCCCACGCAACGGTGTAGTTGATAGCGCTTCCGAGCTGTGAAGCTTAGTGGACATACTCTAAATACAGACACCTAAATCAACAACAACAGCTAAAACAACAACACCAAAACACATACTAATACAAATACAATAATAAATAGTTTTCAATCAAAATAAGTTAAAATGAACAACAACAATAGCAAACGTGTTTAGTTTAAGGCAAAACAAAGCAAGATTGAAAAGCATTTCTCGGACACAGCAAGTGACTGTCACAAAGTAACGGATTTTTATGGTTTCTTGTGATTAAAATCAAAGTAAAAACAGTGTATTACAATAACATTCTGGGTTAAAAAATTTAATTTCTTTTTGTGAAAATAAAAAATGTGGCAATAAATGTTAAAAAATTAAGAAAGTTATGGATATTTTGCATAAAGAGACAATCTTAAACCTGAAATATTATAACTGGCAGAAGGTGCTTAAATTGAACCACGAAAAAATTAAAAAATAATAATTAAAAATAATTATAAAAAAATAAATAGAAAGAAAATATTATTGAAAAAAAAGTGCAAAAAAATATTTTCGGTTTTCAAAGTAAAACATAAATTACCCTGAAACCGTTACTTTTCTGCTATTATAAAAAATTTTTCAGAACGAATGAACATGAATATGAATTATGACATTTCCGAATTGAAAAACATATTCCACTGGGAGCCCTCCAAAAAAGTATCCCACACGAATGCATCCCATTGGCTGGGCTACCGCGGCATTTGATGTGCCCATCATTGTGAAGTGGGCGCGGTGCACGCACACATATGCACACACATAGTCACGTAAAAGTACCGTTACGGCAAACACGACGACCGCTGCCGCACTTCATTCGGCCGCTTGCTGATTCGTGTAACGGGCACAATTGCACAACCACGACCTGTAAAGTAAAGTAGTGCAACAGTGTCCACGCGCAACCACCCACCACAAACTATCACAGTAACACCTGCACTCACCCAAAAGCCTGGCCAGATCTCAATTGCCTGCCATAAATCAACATATTCAATGCACGATTACATTTCCGACAAAGCACCAGCTTCGTCATTAGTTAAGCACTCGCACTGCCGAAGTCCGCAGGCAAAGTTGATGTCGGAAGTCGGAAGCGAAAAGAGTTAAGAGTGCTAAAGCGCTGGCGTGCTGATCTTCGCTGCGCCACTTGTGGCAGCAGCTGCACTCACTCGCCCGAGCCACACATGAGCGTGCGTTGAGCCAGCCGAAGGTGCATTTGGCACTTAGTGCTTTCCACTTACGGTACAGTTAGTTGCGTGCGAAGTGCAAAGTCAAGTGTTGTGTATTGCTTGTGCTATTTACCGTTAAATCGTGGCTACAGCGCGCAGTTGAGGCTCAACAGCTGTGCCAGTTGGCAGCTGTGATCAGAACGGTCTTTCCTTCAGTTGCTACAACACTCACTCTCTCTCTCGCAGTGCACACGCACACACAAACACGCCTTCGTTTCACATTTCGACTATTTTTTATTTTTCAACATAAAAAGTTCTTAAAATCATTAACCACACAGTTTAAATGTAAACATAATTGTTTCTTCTGATTTCAAAAAAAACCTAAAGTGCAAAAAATTTGAATAATATAAATAATAAAATTAAATAAATGACATATTTTTCTATACAGCCAACTCCAAAGCAATTTAGAAAGTTATTACTTGAGTGTCAGAATAAACTTTTTTGTTAAGCGCAATTTGGAAATAAAATTTGGAGTTTTACAATTTAACGGTTTCTAAAAACATTACAAAATAAGTCTAACAGTAATTTTTTTATAAGTGTCCAAATGTGAAAAGACGGAAGAAAATTGAAATAATATTTTAAAGGAACAAAAATATAATTTTAATAATAGAGATTTAAGATATTGAAAAAAACAAAAAAAATTAGTGGCATAAAAAATAAATGTTAAATAATAAAATGCAATAAAATCAAAAATAATACACTAAAAATCAGATTTCGCAAAAGGTAAGGCATAACAGAAGCTATGCAAAAGGAGGAAATAGAATAAAATAAAATCGATTCAAAAAAAAAAAAAATAATAAATAAATAAAATGAATTAAAATCTATTAAAAATTAATTACCATAAATAAAAATAAAATAAATTAAAATAAAATAAAACAAAGTAAATTTATTTAATACAAATGAAATGGGAAAATATAAAAAAAATATTTAAATAAAAAAAGCAAAACAAAATGACAAATATAATTAGGAAAAAAATTATTTTAATAAATGAAATAAAATGTATTAAAATTTAGTAACATAAAATAGAGTATAGTAAATTAAATTAAATTAAATAAAGTAAATCCAAAGAAACAAGTTAAAAGAGGAAATTAATGTATGTGAAATTTAATGAAATAAAGCCAAAAGTCATAAATAAAATAAAATCAAAATAATTATATTAAATTAAAATATATTAATATAATATTGAACTATTTTCAATTAATTATTTTAAATAAAAAAATCAAACAAAGCAAAAGGTATTTTGTAAGGGAACAGCTTAAGCCCTATATGGTTTTGCCTTGCACTTAATCCACTCCGTCTTCACATCATCTAAAGCTAAAGTTGGACTTTACATAAATAACGAGAGAATTTGCAGAGATTTATGAATGCCCTTTGACCTTAACTAGTGTAAAGGACTCAGTGTGGATAGCGACAAAGTGGCAACACGAAATTTCGCACTAGCAGGCCATGTTAATGTTAATGTATAAATGCTTTGGACCCAGACGATGCCTGCAAATATCCATTCATCATAATATTATAAGATGGAGAATAACTAATTGTCATGTGCACAGAGCAGAAAATCTTCTTCATACAAAGGGGACCTTTGGATCTCAGGAATATCTTACAAAATAACAGATGCAATACAAAGAGAAAAGTTGCTAAATGGCTGAAGGTTAAAAGCTTTTCATTGCAGGTATTCAGGTCTGAACTGAGCCAAGCTGATATCGAAGCTTGTACCTCAAACTTATGGTTGCAATATGCAGAAGAACTAAAGTTCGCCACTCAAGACCAAGTCATTGCAACCAAAATCTATTTCAAATATTTTGCTCGCAAACAAATTGTCAACAACAACATGTCTAGATGTTATTCTTGTAGAGAAAAACGAAAAGAGGGCTCTTCTTATTGGAATTAGTATACCTCATTGGCATTATCTGCAAGGCTGCTATTGCGAAGAGCGCAAGAAACATTAGCAGTTATCAGTAGGAGTAAGTCATATGTGGCACCTGGACAAGTTTATAGGTTGCCAAAACGTTGTTGAAAATGCTGGAGGGGCTCCAAGTAAAGGAAATATTTTTGACTATAGAAAAAACCGTTATCACCTACAACAATTGCTCCTTTGTTTTTGAACTTTGAAATTTATTTATTTGTATTTAATTTAACAATAGTTTAATACTAATATATCTTGCTATAAATATTCAATGTAACCCAAATGGGAGTAAAGTATACAAAAATAAAACAAAATTTAATAAAATAAAATTAAGTACAATTGAAATATAAAACAAAAAACAACGAAATAAATTAAGATATAAAAATAAATCAAATTAAATAATATAAAGTTAATTATAATAAAGCAAATTAAAATAAAATAAAATTTAATTAAAAAATATAAAATAAAACAAAACAAACTAATTTGAAAAATAAAAATTAAATAATATAGAAATAAATGAAGTAACTGGAAATAAAATGACGTTTTTAAGCCAACTGAAAAATAAAAAATAGTAAAATTAAGAATAAAATGCAATTAAGTTAAAACAAAGTAACATGAAATAAAATAAATTGCATTAATGAAATTAAAACAAAAAAATTAAAAAAAAAAAAAACCAATTAGTAAAATAAATTGCAGTAAAACAAAATTATTTAAATTGAATTATGTCAAGTAAATAAAAAATAAAAAATTACATTAATATTAATTAAGATTTAATAACATAAAAAAATTAAAAAAAATTAAATTTAATAAAGTAAAAAGCAAAAAAAAATTATAATATAAAAAGAAAAATTATAAAATTAAATTAAATAAAAAATTAATTACAGAAATATTTTAAGTTCTACAAAATAAAATTTAATTGAAAATAAATCTAAATTAAATGCTCACTATTCTGGGCTAGCAAAGAGGCTTTGACTTTAAATGAACATGTTTAAGCGCTTCTTAGAATTTGTTCTCAATTCGACATTAAATAAACCTTTTTTATATATAGAAATAATTTAGAAGTATTCAAGCTGTGATAAGGGTTTTCAAATCTAAGAAAACAACAAAAATGAAATGCTTGTGAGCACTTGAGCACTATGTAAAATATGAAATTTTTTTCTGAACCTTACATTTTAAGCACATTAAAAAAAAAAAAAATAAAATCAAGAGCGGTTCTAAAGTGCTTGGCCAGTGCAAAATAACTAAATAAGAGTAGCTGTTAAATAAGCTGTTAAATACCCACTTGAAGAAGAGTTCAGCGCTGCTAAATTTTTTTTTTTTATTTTTTTGCCTTTAATGTAATTTTATTATTTTTCCCCCTATTTAAAAATGATAGAATTTTAATATTTTAATTTTAAAATGCCAAATTTTGAGTTACGTGAGAGAGATTTTCAAGTAGACTATACTTTAGGGACGTTTTAGATGGAGAGGGAGAAACATATTAATCGAACTTTAACATCTTCTATTTTCCCTCTGGAAATGCTTTGAGAGTACTAAAAATTTTGATAAAAAAAAATAAGGCAAATATCTGAATTGAATGACAGCATAATACCAAAATGACTACATTAAAAATTTTTCATTGGAAGAACTTAACCGCTAAAATAACCTCAATTTTTATTTGTCTTTGATTACTGCAAATAAGCACCATACAAAGAACTTCTAAAACAAAGAGCAACGTGCAGTTAACAACTTGATATAAAATTTGAAAAGTAACACATAAATAAAAACAAAAACGTAATAAAAAAATTAAACTAGCAACTAGAACAAACGTCGAAAGGAAAATGATGTTCAAGAAAGAAAAATAAACAAAAATTTCTAAGCCAGCAAGACCCCAAAATCAACTTGCAATTAACACTTTCGTGCGTGCAACTGCAGCCAAAGCAACAACAAGAACAGCAAAAGCATTAACTGCGCCAAACCGAAGCAAATACACGTTTGAGCTCGGGCAAGGCAAATACGGGTGTCCCGTAAGTCTGTGTGTTTGTGTTGAAGTGAAACCGAAAAATAAATAACCTAATAACGGAAAAAGAAAACAAAGATTTGTATATATGTGCGAAATGAGTGAAAATCTAAAAACTATACGAACTTACTAAGCCACCAACAAACCGAAGAAGCTAACTAAATGCAAACCAGCAAACAAACAAACCGGCAAGCAGACAAATGAATGACTGAGCGTCTCACAGGCAGACAGCTGCAACAAGGCATACACGTACATACATACATATTCTGCAATGTGTATGCTGTGTTTGTTGGTAATGCACATAACGGTGAATGAAGGTTTCAACAAAGCAACAGTCTAGCTATATATGTACATGTGTATGTATGTTCAACGTTAATGCTCAAGTGCCGTCGGTTGGACATCGCCATGTTGTTGTTTTACAGGATTTCACCAACTTCTTGCTTAAGTCATTCATTGCAACGTAAGATGAAATCTTTATATTTGATATTTTGCTCATCTATTAAACACACATATTTATTTAAACAATCAATGCATGAGATCATAATGAACACATACACACTCACTCAATGCATTTAAAATGAGCACAGGCACTTCATTTTCGAAACTAGCGCCATCATTGCCAGCAAAAGTTTATAGCACACTTTTGAAGTAATTATAGCAATATCTAAATAAATATATTAATTTATTAATATTGCATATATACAAAATGAAAATAAATATTTTTTAGTATATATGTATGTACTTGTGGTATATTTATTTCTAGTATTGAATTATATGTGAAATATTTCATAAATAATTTCTTAAATAAATATGTATCCAAATATAAAAATGAATATTTTACATATATATTACAAATATATTTATTATAAAAAAAAATTACCATTAAAATCAAAAATATTCTTATCTTCCACTACATAATTGCATTACACAGTCTAATGAATATGCATAGTTTTATATATGTATGTATATTTAATTTATCAATATTACATACAGACAACATTGATAAGACTACAAAGTGCAAATCAAACCAAACTGATTGCAATATCTTTACTATACAAAAACAAAAAAATTATATTTCACGCCGAATGGAGTTTTGCAATAATATATAATACACAACAACTACGCGTAAATGTGTAAAAGAAATTTTTTTAAATTCTACATTTCTTATATAAAAAGTAGATATTGGATGAGTGCATAAGTTCGTGCCCGATTCCGCTGGATGCCGTTCGAATCGTTTGAGAGTGACGCTCGTGAAAGAAATATATACATATTATATATCGTTGGAAAGGTGACAGTCCGAACTGTAAATCAAGCATAAAATAACTTCATTTTGATTTGAGTTGCTTAGTGAAAAGACGCATGGAAGATGGACAACGAAAAAGATCATATGCATCATATTATGTTATACCAATTCCGCAAAGGAAAAA